GATCACTAATTTGTCATGGCTATTGTTGCTCCTTGTTATCCTACACAGCTATTTCTGGGTGTATCCTCCACCTCTCTTCCTTCTCAAATGTGGTAGGTGAAGCACACAGCTCAGCAGCTCTACATAAGTAGACTAAATGAAAGAGGGCAATCTCACACCTTAAGGCAGTCCAACAAGGGCTGAGCAAGCCCAATGCCCATGGGGTGTTAGGAGAAAATAGAGCACTAGGGGAAGGGGTAATGGAGTGGAATATTGAAGAAGAGGCATGGCTGGCTAGGTAGCTGGTATTCTGACTGGGAGGTGGAAGGAAAAGCTTTCCACAGCTTCAGTGTGACATGCAGAAAGAAATATAGGAAATGAAAAGCTAAAAAATAAGGGAAATAATGAAATGGCAAAATGAACAGAGAACGCTCTTTTGTGCACTGTTTTGCTCAAGTTCCCTTTGTTAGTACCCTTATTTTATTTCTGTGGGTCTTTGTCACCTTCAAGAGCCATCTTCCTTGAGCCTGTAATTTTGATAATGATAATAAAAATTGAGAGCCAATATGGATCAAGTGCCAGAGTGGTGCAGTGGTTTGAGTGCTGGACTATGACTCTGGAAATTAGAGTTCAGCTGCCCACTCAACCATGGATACCCACTGGGTGACACTCTCACACTCTCTTGTCTAAGAGGAAGTTAAAGGCAAATCTCGTTGAACAAATCTTCCCTCCCCCCCAAAAAAGAACCATTACAAAAATAAACATTACAAAAAGAACACCTTAGGTTCACCATAACTCAGAGACAACTTGGAGACATACAACAGCAAACAAGAAATAACCTTTTTTGGGCACACAATTCTACTGTGTATGACTAAAAGCCTCCTTCCACAGTAGGACTTTCCCCTATGCATGCACTTCCCCTTTACAGCCACTATACAAACCAACAGGCCTAAAGACATCAGATTCCATCTGATCTTGGAAACTGAGCAGAGCCAACCCTAGTTAGCACTTGGATGGAAGACCAGCGACAAATACCAGATACTGTAGGTGATACTTCCGAGAATAAATTGGTAAAGCTACCTCTGAGTATTTCTTGCCTAAGAAAATTCTGTAAAATTTCATGGAGTCATCATGACAGGCGACTTGATGAGACATGCACACAACACCAAAAGGATCTCAGAATGCATAACTGGGGGGGGGGGGAGAGAAACAGGGAGCTGCTTAAAAGGGGATTAGCCTCAGCCTAGTACAATTGACAGAAACAGTGCCATCTGCAAAAGGGGTGAATTTTGCCCTCTGCTAGACTCCAATCATATTAAGTTACAGTTACTAAGAGCAGGGTTCTTGAACTATGAAATCCATCATAACAATGAAGAGGGGGTGACCATATTTGACACTTGAATCCCAACATCCAAAGTGGCTTGAGAACCCAAGAGTGGATTTAGCTGAAGCGCAAATCATCTTCAAAATGACATGGGAACTTAGCAGCTTTCTCAAGCCATGTACAAAATACCGTCAAAAACAGCCTCAGGGCTGAAGATGGAAGAAAGGTGAAGTAGGCAAAAGAAAGAGATTAATATCTTCTCAGTCACCTGAATTATTAAGTCCTGCCTCTCTTTTTTTATCTTGGGCAGACAAGAGTATCACTTTTTCCATTTTCAGCATGAATTATAGTGACTCTGAATTAGTTAGCTAAATAGAAGTTCTTGTCCTGAAGATATGAAGTCCTATTGCACTGTGACAACTCAAAATGCCAGCAATATGGATAGTCAGAGACAAATGTGACCAAAATATTTTATTTTTAAAAACAGTTTCTGGCCTTGGGATATCAAAAAGCACAATGCCATTATGTAGGAATTAATTTTCCTTTTTCATATTTGAAATAGCAAATTGTTTGGCTCGAAGGATCAAGTCAGCAGTGAATTTATGTTGCCTTTTGAATGACTCAGAGGTACCTTAGGGATGCTCCAGGACTTAACAAAAACAAAAATGCATCACAAGCATGACACAATGGAAAGAGCAGGCCTTCAGCAAGGCTACTGAGTATCCCAAATGTGTTGGCATTCAGACTAGCACAGAACACTGGTAGGAACTGCATAGAGCAAGACAGCTGTCTAAGAAATAAAAGTAGCAAGAATGTTAAGAATTCACAGATTTTTCTCATTATTGACAAAAGGGGTAAATTGACATGTTGAGGCATCCTACTGAAAACCTATCAGCATCCATGAAATTTTTGCTGCTGCTCATGATGAAAACTCCCCAGGACAATTCTTTTTCTGTCAGGAGAGACATAGGTAGCTGGGTATGATTAGCCTGGAGAAGCAAAGGTTAAGAGGTGCTATGATAGCCCTGTTTAAATATTTGAAGGGGTGTCATCATATTGAGGATGGAGCAAGCTTGTTTTCTCCAAATCCAGAGAACAGGACCCAGAACTATGGATTGAAAGTACAGGAAAAGAGATTCCACTTCAACATTAGGAAGAACTTCCTGACAGAAACAGTGTTCAACAGTGAAACACACTCTCTTGGAGTTGTGCATAGTCTCCTTCCTTGGGGTTTTTTAAACAGAGACTGGATGGCCATCTGTTGGGAGTTCTTTGATTGTGTGCTCCTGCATGGATGGGTCTTGTGATCTCTTCCAACTCTATGGACGTTATCACACGGGGCCCAATCCAAACAGAATCCAAATGAAATCCCGCCCGAATCCGGATTATTTGCCCGTGTTTTCACATGACGTCGCACAGAACCCAGACAGAAAGTGGACAGAAAGTGGAAAGAACCGAGATTTTTTGAATTTCGGTTTCTTGAGGAATTGCAATTGCCCGATGGGAATCATTTCGCATTTACCGTAAGTATGATAATCAAATACGTATTGGGGAGCATTTCCCCGTCATTACCCATGGTTCCCGCAAGCATTACTCTATCTGCGCATGTTCAGGAGGCTCATTTCGGCTAAATTTATGGGTTTTTTTCTCTTGTGTGTGGACGTTCGATACACTTACTGTAAATGCGCAATGGAGGTAATGACGTTTATTTTCGGGATGCCTCATTTCCATTTTATTTTCAGTTTCTGGGCCACGTGTGATAACGTCCAATGATTCTATGGTTACATATTTTGCACAATAACAAATTTTGTGCAAAATTTCCCAAATGCATTTTTTTTGCACAAAACCATGTGTGAAACTCTTTGCAAAATGGCCTCAAAGAAAACCAAAACAACAAGACTGCACAAAAACTCTTTGTCATCTTGCACTGCTCTGGGATTATTCACCATCCTCCATGGGTGTGAGACTGGAATAAGAGAATGTTTCTGTCACTGAGCTGCAGACATACATTAGTGATAAGAGCATGAAGTACATTCTGCATGAAACATCTGGCATTGGTGTAAGATTCTGGCAGCAACATTTGGGAAACAATATTCCCTATGCTATGTATGAAAGCATGATCAGACTAATCTCTGATGTACTGCACCACCACCACCTCTATAATGGCTAGGGATGGTACTAGTGCTCTTCAACCTAGCCAAATCAGATTATCATTGTTGTTGCTGCTCTTTGCCATCAAATTAGCTTTAAATTATGGCTACTCTATGTATGAAAGGGCGCCATGAATGAAAGGGCGCCACTAGTCATGTTAACAAATTGTTTTAAAAGGATAAAAACAAATTAAGTTTGCAATTTACAAGAAGACAGATTAGAACAATTTATTATTGTTTGCCTTCAAGTCATTTCTAACTTATGGCAGCCCTAAGGCAACCTATCATGGGGCTTTTTTTGGCAAGTTTTGTTCAGAGGTTTGGCATTGCTTTCCCCTGTGGCTGAGATGGTGTGACTTGCTCAGTGTTATTCAGTGAGTTTCTATGGCCAAACGGAATCAAACCCTGGTCTTCGGAGCTGTAGTCGAACACTAAAACCACTACGCCACACTGGCTCTCTTCCATTTGCATTAGTTTAAAATGTAAAATGATTTAAAACATAAAATGTTTAAAATGATTTAAAGCCATGCATATGCACAGATTTGTGTAAAACCAATTAGACCTGAAAGGATAATACAATTATATTTTTACTTGGCTTGACTGATGTTTCAAGTTTGATTCTTTACATTCAGCAAGTGGCCCAATTGAATATGTAAGTGTGAATTTAATTATAAATAAATAAACCCTTTATTTTTACATCTAGACAGATTTGGATGAATTCTGAATCCCAATCTGAATTGGGCTTATTTGACCACTTCCAAGCAGCAACAATGCTTCTCTGAAGCAGACCAAAATGGAATGTTTAGCAATTTCTATTGAGGGACACAAAAACAAAGACAGCTGGCCTCTAAAAGAATATGTTATCTCCTAGAGCTGTTCATAGAAGAAAAATGTCAGGGTTGAAAGAGGTAGAAGGGAAATGAGAGGGTAAAGGTTTGTGGCTGATAGCCCCATCGAAGTCCTTGAACTGTTTAATGTGGTGGGAAGCCTTGTTTTTCAAAACCACAAACAGATGTCTGGCCACTTCTGCCCCCCCCCTTGTCATTCTTGGCACTCTATCCAGCCTTGGAGAGGGAGAAGTTCTGGAGCCATGGAAAGAACCAGCCCTGGACCTGCTGCAATTCCCCATTCCTGCTTATAGGATCCCAGCTTCTGTGTCTAAGCCACTGTTCTTTCTTTTTAGTTCACCAGTTCAACTCCCTCCGCAGTATTGATCCCTGACCTTTCATACCCTCCAACTGTCCCAGTTTTGCAGGGACACCCCGATTAATCCTCTGTCATCCCACTTTTTCAGTTGATTTTAAAATATCCCAGTTTCTCTCTATTCTCAGCTTAATTCAAACACTGTACTACCAACTGAATTCAAAGGGCAAAAATAATTTGCACCCCATTAACTCAGCAGTGGAGAGAGGAGAGGAGAAGATGGAATCTTTTTTCCTTCCAGTAGGATCAGGAAAAAGGAACTGCTGGAGCATCTGCCAACATGTGTGTTTTTCCTCATTGATAACATTTGCCATCCTGACCGTGCCCTGATGCTGCATGGCTATATCTGTTCCAGTTTTCATCTGTGAAATATTGTAACATATGCAATATGTGATGACGTTCTCAGAAATCAAACTCATTCTTATTCATTCCATCTTTTTCTCTCCACTACAAGGGAATTTTAAAGGGATCCTTCACAAAAAGCACCTTATAGTGGGGACAAAGTCAAAGAAGTGACCTGTATCCCCAGCTGCGTTATAAATATTACAGCTCCAGAAAGACTATTCTACATGTTTCCTCTGCTCTCTCCATTTTGGAAATAGCTCAGAAATATCTGAATTTTTGATAATGCCATTCTTCTGTACTTGCCTTTGCCCACCCTCATTATAAATCTTTTAAAAGGAGTTTCAATTTCCAAATGTTTTATAACAGTTCTCAGCTCACAGATGCTCATTTGACCTTTTCTTGTCGCTTACAAACAAGAAGCATTATGCCATTTTTACCAAAGGATGTAAAAATTGTCAACAGTAAAGTAATGGTGAGCACACAACACACTTTATTGTAAAAAATTGAATTTAATTACCAAATCTGTTGCACCTAAGAAACGATTAGCCTTCACTTTTTATCAAGGTCTCCATGAAGAAAAGGGAAAGATGTGAGAAAAATGAGGGGGAAA